TGTCATCGCCCAAGGCTGTCTCTCGCAAGTCGTCGCTGGTCGCTGTGGAGGACGTCGCCCCCGTTGTTGCGTCGCCCAAGGTGGCGTCGCGCAAGGCCTCGTTTGAGGAGAAGGCCCCGTCGCGCAAGAACTCTGTGGGGGCTGGCAAGGTGGCTTCGCGCAAGAACTCGTCGTCGGCGATTGTGATTCCTCGCACGGCCTCGATCGATCTTACCGACATTGTGGCCGCCCAGGAGGTCGCTGCTTCGTTTGTCGATGACGTGGTCGCCCTCGCGGCCGAAGACGCCGCGACGCAGGACGTCCTCTCGCAGAGCGTGACAAGCGATGGATTCGTCGAGCTCCAGCATGCGGACGCCGGCGACATCGTCGAGCAGGTCGAGCAGGTGGTCATGGAGTGCGAAGACGCCGACGCGGTCGAAGAAAAGCTGTCGGTGGTCATCCCGGCGCCGGCGACCGACGAAGCCGCCAAGGACGACGACGCTACCAAGGACGACGAGGACGACGAGAAGGACAGCCCCGTAGCGGTGGACGCGGCCAAGGCCGAAACCAAGACGACGCCGACAAGCGACAAGAAGAAGAAAAAGAAGAAGAAGAAGAAGGGTAAGAAATAGACGAGGTATAAGCACGTGCAACACGACTATAAGTTGCCTGCCTACGCTTTGAGCTCGAGAAAGGCGACGACCGCAGGAATCTCGCTCACGCCCGGGATCTGGAGCAGCTGCCAAATGCACTCTTCGAGGAGGCGCTGGCGCGTCTTCAAGTAGTCGGGGCTCAAGTCGCGAAAGCAGTACGTCTTGGGCGGCTAGACGACGAGACGACCATGACAAATGACGTCAAGGCGAGAGTCGTACCATCGTCGGTAGCCGATCGCCGAGGCCATAGAGCCTAAACATGCGTTGCGATGAGCCAGTTGCCATTGATGCTGCATCCAGCGTCGTCGTCGTACTGGCCCCACAAGGTCGCAAACTCGCTGTACCGGCGGTGCACGACCCACGTCGTGTTGCCACGCTTGAGCTCGAGCGCGTATGCAGCAAACGAGTTGTCCTTGACGTCGTAGCTCTCGACGTTGACCGTAAAGAAGTTGGCACCTATGGCTTCATGAAGCGCATGCGACAGCACCGGTCGTCGCACCGTAGCGCGTCGACCAAATCGACGGCTTGAGGAAGACGGGCCGGCCTGCCATCACCTCAGTTAGTCGGCGCCGCTCGTCGAGGCCAGAGTTCGATCAAGTGCGCTCGCAGAGTTGATCGGAACCTGCATACTGAAACCAAGATGTCTCGATAAAGTACGCTTGGCCCATTCCCGAAGATCGCAACAATTTCGATCTTCCTGCACATGCCGAACGACAGATCCGGTCGCCTGAACAGCAGCGTCGGGACATCTTGGCCCAAGAGCGGAGCGATGCAGGTCTAGTAGATTAGTCGATCCATTGCATGGACCCAATGGCATGGACCGACTGCGAGCCAAGCAGGGTTGTCGCATCCATGACGCCTCAGTATCTTGTTGGCACGTGGCCAAGGCGGTAGTAGCAATCGTTAGTCGATGCACTCACTACCAGATTGTTTGGCCGCGTGCGCAGCGCAACGAAGAACAGAATGCAGCATTCGCTGCGACGTCGCTGTAGCATTACACCTTGCAGTGTCCAAGTAGTTAGTCGCTTGCCCATCAACTACCAGTATAGTAGTATGTGTGGTACGCTGGCCGACTTCGATGCGCTGCACCACCACCTGCAAGCGAGAAAGCTGGGGTCCAACCAGGATCGGCAGGGTGACGCCACGTTCGACGCCAGCATACATTGGTCCAGTCAAAGAACCAGCTGGAGTCATTCCTGTTCGACGAGGGCGAACACCGAACCAGCGCGCCAGTATGATGTATGGTTGCGACCTCTGTTGCTCTATGCCATTTTGCATTTGTCGTCGACCATGAAACTCCTCGGGCTTGTTGTCTGCGTCGTCGCAGCAGTGATGAGTGGCGTCGCGTCGGCGTCCTGTGGCCCGGTCGAGGCCAACATTGACTACTGGGGCAACGACATCACACAAACGAAGCAGTCGTCCGCGGATCGGTGCTGCACCGACTGCGCAGCCACAGCCAACTGCGTGGTCGCGACGTGGCGCGCGGGTACATGCTACCTCAAGCACACGAAGGCCAACCGGTACAGTTCGGACGGCGCCATGTCCATTTCGCCCACCCCGACATCGACGTGCGGCGCGACCGAGACCGACATCGACTACTACGGCAACGACATCAAGCAGACCAAGCAGGGATCCGCCAACGGATGCTGCGCCGACTGCGCGGCGACGGCCAACTGCGTCGTGTACACGTGGCGCGACGGCACGTGCTACCTCAAGCACACCAAAGCCAACCGGTACACGTCGACGGGCGTCAAGTCGGCGTCGATGACGTCGTCGTCGTCGTCGCAGGTGTGCGCCCCGATCGAAGAAAACATTGATTACTACGGCAACGACATCAAGTTCACCAAACAACCGAACGCCGACGCCTGCTGCGCCGACTGCGCGGCGACACCTGGCTGCATCGTCTACACGTGGCGCGACTACGGCTACGGCGACACCAAGTGCTGGCTCAAGAGCGCCAAAGGCGCGCGCGGGCTCTGCAACGGCGCTCAGTCGGCGTCGATGCAATCTTCGAGCAATATTTGCCGCCCGATCGAAGAAAACACCGACTACCCGGGCAACGACATTGCGCGCCTCAGTCGTGCGACCGCCGGCGAGTGCTGCGACGACTGCCGCGCGCGGGCCGACTGCGTCGTCTCTGTGTGGTACGCGGGGCTGTGCTACCTCAAGAATGCCAAGGGCAACAAGGTATACGTGTCGGGGGCGCGCGCAGCGTCGGTGGGGGGCGTTACGCCAACGCCGGCACCGTCGCCGTCGGGGGGCACTCTCAAGGACCAGATTTTGCGCCAAACCAACTTGATCCGCAAGGCGCATGGCTACACGACACTCGTGGTGTGGGACGACAAGCTCGCCGCCGACATGCAGGCGTGGGCCGACTCGTGCCCGCAAAAGAACGGCGGCGGCCACGGCGGCCCCCCCGGTGCGCAGAACCTCGCGGGGTTCGACGAGTGCAAAACCAACTGCAACCGCCAGGTCGGCGCCGCCTGGAACTGGTACGACAGCGAGCAGCAGCTCTGGAGCTACGAGCGCGACGCGTGCGCCAACGGCGACTGGATGACGTGTGGCCACTTTCAAAACTCGATGAACAAGGGCGTGTCGGCCATCGGCTGCGGCTGGTCCACATGCTACAACCCCAATATCAACGGCCAGGACTCGCTTGTCTGGTGCAACTACATTGGCGTGTCCGACCCGCCCGAGATCCCGCGCCCAAACATGGCCCGCGAAGCGATTCTCGCCAGTCTCACGGCCTAGTCGACCACAGTAACACTAGTATTTGTTTTTGAATTGTGTACAATTTAGATGGTTTTATATCGATACAAGGGGATGTGTTTCGATAAGAGTGGATAGCTCGAGCGTTCGACGGTCCTGCTGGGCTCGATGATGTCGCCGTAGCGCGGCCGCTTGCTGCTCAAGCGCCACGTTCTTTTGATGCTCCATGCGACGCCGGAGGCCGGTGAGTGCTACTTGCATGGCGTCGCGGCCGCGCAAGAGAGTTTCGCGTTCGCGCGTCGCTGCCTCGTCAAGGACGCGGCACATCTCATTTGCGTGGTGGGCGGCCCACTCGGCCTCGTACTGTTGACGCAGCTGCATCGTCTCTGTCGCCATCGCATGTAGAACGCGATCGATATGGCGCCGGAGGTCGGCGGCGGCGGTGAGGGCCGCCTCGGCTTGCGTTTTGCACGCGCGAATCTCGGATTCGTACTGCGCAGCATGTCTTTTCCACTCGTCTCGGAGCTTTGCTTCGTAGAGGGGGACAGCCGCGAGCGTCGCGTGGAGTGCAACCACGTGCTTGACAAGTTCGCGCACTTCGAGCACGATGAGCACTTCGAGTCGGTCCAAGCTCGGTGTGTCGACCGACGGCATCCGACGGCGCGTGCGCTCAAAGTGGTCGTGGATGCGCGAGGCTAAGATGCGCGCGCTGTTGGCCCCGTGCTGCTCCATCAACAGCCGCCTTTCTCGTGTCCCTTCAAGATCGTCGATATCCGGATACATACACATGCGCGACCTCGGCCGGGTCGGGCTTCTCGGGGCTCTCGGGCTCGGTGTCGTGTATGGCCTCGCGACGACGACCTGTGGGCCGACGCAGTACTTTGACACGCCGAGTCTCAGCTGCGCGTCCTGTCCAACGGGGGTATCACCATCGCTATCAACACGCAGTCGCCGTATCCTGCGTCTGTAGATGGTCGGCCGCAACGCGGCTGCCGCATGCACGTGCAGGTAGCCTACGATAACGACAGCGTATGCATAGCGCAATGACTACTAGCGCCGGCGCAATCCTTGCAGTGAATCCGTCGCAGCTGTGCTGGAACGCGTGGCCCAAACCGTGCGACGCCCGGACGTGCGTCAACTGCCCGGCGGCGACAGTGCCCAGCCGCGACGGCGCGGCGTGTCTTCCGTGCGACAACACGACGCTCGGCATCCGCAACAACGACTGCCAGTGCCGCGCCGGCATGGTCCTCGTCGATCGCTACGCCGTGCGTCGTTATCGTCGTCTCTCCTCCTATGCACGTGCCTAGAATGCGACGCTGCTCGCGGCCAAGACGTGTCTCCCATGCAACAATGGCAGCGTCGATGCTTCCGGCTACGTGTGCACGCTCTGTCCTGTTGATATGCTCAGTGGCAGCAACGGCTGCGTCTGCCGCCCTGGCTTTGTGAGCACGGGCATCGCAGCGATTGGGCTGCTGCGCTGCGTCGACCAAGGCAACGTGTCGGCGATCACCGCCATGTACCCGCTCCAGTCGGCGACGCAAGTGACGTTTGCCGATGCGTCACGGACGTTTACAAGCGGTGCGATAGTTCAACATGATGCCTGTGGCGTTCACGAAGCGTAGCGATCTTCGAGCACTATTTTACGTCGGCGGCCGTCGGGTGCTACTACTATAGCAACGAAGACAACAATGGCGCGTGCCAGACCCTGGGCAATCTCTGCGTCCTCCAAATGTTTGCGTCATCGAGCGCGGCGTGCAGTCTACTGCGTCAGCTCGCGTCGTCGAGCCGCCTCACGACCTCGAACGGGATGAGTGGCTGGAGTGCGACATTGCCCTTTCTCCTCTACAATGGCGGCGCCACTTCGATTCTCACCCAAACCTCTCTGCAGCTCACGGTACGCCTGCGATTGACAGCAGCACATTCCTGTGACCCTTCTAGATGTCGTTTTCTGCCGCGGCCAACCCGGGGACCAACGACACGCTGCAGTTTATGCTCGCTTCCTATACGCTTAACGGAACGTACTTGGGCCTCCACCCGCTCTCGACGCAGTTGCTGCTGTGCGACCCCACGGCTCGTGGCAACTTTGGCTTTGGCCTCGACTGGCTGCGCTTTGGCCTGAGCAAGACGTTTGCCTACAGCTGCGACCTGACAGCAGCGTTTGCATCACCACCAAACGTGCTGTTGTACGAACTGTACCTTGTCGACACTGACAAGTCGCTGCTGCCCGTGCCCATTCGCGTGCTTAACTATCGCGACGGGCGGAATTTGGCCGTCAACATAAACCGCGCGCCGACCGACGTCGAAGGCGACCAGCTCACACACCGGTATCGAATCCATTGCATGCCGTTAATATCGAGTTATCGACTAGCTTTTATGTTCTGGACGCTGCGTCCGGGGTCGCGTCGGGCTACACGACACCTAGCGTTGTCTCGTATGCGTCCCGCCTTTTGCTCTCGGTACACCTATTCGTCGATGGAATCGAGCGGCTAGTTGTCAGTAGATTCAAACCCAAGCGTCCAGCGTCAGCGCGCTCTACCCGCCTGTCTTGACCATCGAATACACTAGTATCGAGGTACTTGCCGACGTCGCGTTGTCAACCTACTAACCTACGACCAACAACGAGCTAGTCGCCGGATGCAATCGTATCCAGTGTCTTTCAAGTGCAATATTCGTCGAGCACCAAGGCGTTTTGGTCGGTCGCGCTCGCGCTCTTCGTGCTCGCGTGCGTCGTCTCGGGCTGCAGCGTTCTCTTGCAGTACTACACGTGGCAGCGCCGGCACACGCGGGGCAGCGACATCACCGCGTCCACATGTACCACCGTCTTGTTTCTAAGTACTTTTGCGCTACGGTCGTCGCATCGACTCGAAGATATCCTAGGCCGCACGTTGGCGTCCACACTCTCGACGTGGCTGGTCGGGTACGTTTCGGCTTCTGGACGTGATGCAAACACATCTTGTAGCATTCTAAGTGTGCTCACGGGCTACTACTTGATCTTTTTCAAGCTCCAGTCGGCCGTCTATACCCTGCTGCCGGAACACAACCCGTCGTACGGTGTCTCTGATGAGTACGCGCCGTTCGAGATCGTGCTCGTCGGCGCGGCGATGGCCAAGGTTTGTGGTGACAGAACTTGTATGTACATGATGCTATTGATGTTGGACTAGACCATTGCGCTTCTCTGTACGGTCTACGTCCAAGCGAGCGTCGAAATGTTCTTTCTCGACTGGGAAAAGCCCCGCGGAACTCCCGAGAGCCCGTCGCCCGTGAGCATTTGGCGCACGATCCTCGTCGCCAACGAGTGGAACGAGCTGCAGACCGTACATTTTGATGGAGCGCAACCGACACGCCACTATGACCTCTAGGCGCGCGGCTCGTCGTTACCCCTAACCCTACTCGGTCTCTTATGGCTACTTCTCGGGTACTAGTCCTTGTAGACCGCATGCTCGAATAATCACGTATCGCAATTGGCAGGTGTGAGTATGCCACCTTGGCATCCCCTCAGCCGCTCGTGTACGGCATGGCGTTTGGCGCTCCGAACGAATACCTCCGCTTTGCCAACGTTGTGGCGTGGTGGACCGTCCTCACCGCGTCGCAGTGGCTCTGGCGCTGGCTCATTTATGTAATGAATCTATCGCCAATGTTAGTTCGGTGGTAGATCTGATAGATGATAGGAACGATGGATCTCGGAGCCGCGCCACCTCCTCTTCCTCGACCTCTGCACGCTAGCCAAAGTCAGCTGCGTGCTGTTAGACGAAGCATACCACGGGTACTACCTCCACTGCCGGTCGCCGTACGCATTCGCCGACGGCTCGATGCTCGACTTGACCGAGCAGCTCAAGCAAGAGGCCGCGGGTCTCACGGCGTCGCGCGGCCTCGACGGCGGCCCCGACGACTGCCAGTGCTTTGAGCTCTTCTTGACCAAAGCGTGGCGCAAGCGCTTCATGAAGCTCTATGGCGCTGAGGAGGCGAAAACCCACGCGCAGCCAACGCTGCTGCACGACGTTCTCGAGCGCCGACGTACGAATACGCTGCTCGCACCACCGCGCAAAGCGGCGCCGTCCCCCAAGCTCGTCCACGCCGGGCACAAGCTCACTGCATTTTTGCGATCGTTTGTCGACAATACGGACGAGAGCTTTCGCTGGAAAATGGTGTCGGGCCAGCCGTGCCTGGCGCGGTATTTCCGCCTCCCGCCCGACCTCAGCGCGGCCAAGACCTCGCTCTTCGTCGCCGGTACGTCACTCCCGTACCCGCCTTGCTGATCGAATATTTGCTACATTAGATGCACAGGCAACGGGTTTTACGTCCATGCTCTTCCTCGGCCTCGAGACAGAACTCGTGCTCTGGAACATGCTTGTAGAGACAACTTCTCTGCTCTGTGCTGCGTCACTTTGACGGTGTAGGTCTTTGCGACGTGCGACGTGTGGTGGGGCAACCACGCGATCTCGGCGCTCTGGACGTACGTGGCCGAGTGTGCGCTGGTACGGTTGCGCCAGCACTGGGGCACGCGGAATGTCGCCAAGCGCACTCTCGTTGACGCCCGCTTCTTGATCTAACGTCAGCCTTGAGCTCGCGTAACTTTAGTAGTATATATCTGAGCCACAGTGAATATGTACGCTGGTCCGAGAGGTTTGTCGGATGTAACTAGGAAATGTGTTTGTGGTACTGCTATCGAAGAAGCTCAACCATGGAACTCGGTTCCATTGGTCTAGATCAATTGCCGTAGTGGGATTTAACAGCTTTTGGTCGTCCTCAAGGGATACAAAAGAAACACAAATGCGACGAGGCGCTTGGCCATTACCGGCCGATGGACGTGACAGCGCGGAGACCGTGGGCCCACGCGAGGTCGCGGCTGTCGTCGGCGAGCGTGTCGGGCCACAAGAGCGTGTAGAAATGCGGCAGCACGCTGGGCGCGGCCTCGCCCACGATGCGCGAACACGTGGCCTCGAGCTCGCGCTGCTCGGCAGTTTTTTTTGCAGCCACTTCGGGCGTCGACGACGCCGCACAGAGCGACGGGACGCAGACGCGGATGTTGTATTCGCACAGACTCGGCTCGTCGATCGTATCGACGGCAATCTCCTAGCGCGAAATATGTGGTGAAATTGCGATAGGAGGGAGACGACGGGGTGGTACCGGTTGCTCGGCGCAGCATACATACTTGACGGTCGTCGCCCGCGCCTGCCCGTTCTCATCGCAGGTCTACAGCTCACACGTTTAGTGAGCGTGATTCGGGATCGCAAGGTGTTGTACCTGGCCGCCAGTGTAGTGGTGCACGACCTCCTTCTCCGTGCTGCGGTCTTCGGTGAACCGGCCCATGCTCCAATCGAACGGACGACTTCCATCGGCTTCCTACACCGTGTGTGGTGAGATACGTTGAAATGGAAGCGAACACCTCGTGGAACTGGCGGACTTCGCTTTCGTAGCACACTTGGTAGCTCCACCAGCCGTTGGCCATGACGTGGCACTTTTGCTTGGCAAACGCCGTGTCGACAGTGGCCTTGAGCTCGGCAATCGCGGCCGTCGACGGCGCTGGCGCCAAGTGGTGCTTGGCAAGCTTCATGCACTGCTCTTGGAGGTCGTGGGTGAACTTCCAGCTACAGAGGTTGTTGTGAGACTCGTAACGCAAAGAGGTGGGATGAGAGGTCGTACCCGACATGGCGCGCGCAGCGGGGGCACGTCAAGACGCGCCAGTTGTAGTCGTCAAAGAACGAGTCTTCCTCCGAGTAGCTCTCGGTCGCGCTGGCCTCGGTGAGCTCAAAGGCCGCGAGCTCAAACTCATCGCCGAGCGGACCGTCAAAGTAGGTGACTTCGCCACTTTCGCCCAGTGTAGCTTCGTGCCGGTAGCTCTTGGCCCGGCCTTTCGTGGCGGCTGGCAGCGCCATGGCGTCGCTACGAGTAAGTCGTCAGCGCCATATCGTATCGAGGCCGTACCTCTTCCACGCGAGATGCGCGCCACACATGCGGCAGCGCAGCGACGTGCTCGACCCGTCGTGCGTCGCCTTCTTCTTTGCGCGAAACGTGGTGAGGAGCATGGCCTCGTCGTCCACGTCGGCCACCGCCTTGGCCCGCACGTCGCCGTCGACCGCCAGCGCAACCTCGCTCACTTGATCTTGCGCTGACTTGGACTTCGCCACCGCGCCCTTCTCGGCGCCCGCGATCTCGGCCGCGACCGCCAGCGCGAGCAGAAGCTTCCACGTTTGCATCCTTCGTCTGCCACTTGGCAATTCCATTGCAGCGGCCAGCGCCGGATACGGCACGACGTATCCGGATGTGCACTCTGCCTCGCGTTTGTCCCAATGTCCCAAACCAATGTCCCAAGATGCAATCAAGCCGAAGCCGACGCTTGGACCGACGCCGACGTTATCGTCGCCGAGGCGTGGACGATCAGGACTCAGGCCATGTACTTGACCATGCATCTTTCGAGTGCTATGACTGCTACTGCGAGCAAGCAGCAATGTCATCCTGCGTACCTGCTACGAAGGTGCACTCCGGATCGCTTGGTCAACAGCGAACTCACCACCAAGTCAGGCGAGCTTCGACGGCACCTGGTCGAGCTTCGTCGTCGTCGAAGTTGCCGATTGCAGCTGCGGTATCGAAGCGTACATGTGTAGCTACACCAATCTAGCCAGTTTCTGTCAATGGATGGGCTTTGCAGCAAGCACGCCTGGCGTGCTTGCGCCGAGTAGCTTGATCGCACTGGTACTAGCCGCCGCTGGCGGCGTGGGTGCGACCAGGTTACGCGGTCGGTAGTCGCAGAGCCTTTAGCGCGGCCATCGTCGCCCCGCCACGGCAGACAGCGGCGATGCCACGTGCTGGCTGACAGGAGGCATGTCGGTCACGCTGATTGGCTGAAATCCTGTTGCGAGATAGCGTTACAGCCGGTTTTCAAGAAGCGGATTGGCTCGTCGTGGAACTGGCGCCCGGCGCCGGTCATTTCCCGATCGTCGTCGCGATGCCCCGTCTGACTGCGCTCGTGCTGCTCGTGCTCACGGCGATGGCGTCGGCGCTCGACTTCCGCCTCTACGGCCTCAACTACAACAGCCGCCAGGGCGCCGACTGGGACCCGAAGAAGTGCAAGTCCCAGGACCAGATCGAGACGGACCTGAGCAAGATCAAGCGCATCTCGGACCGCGTGCGCATCTACAGCCTCGCCGACTGCAACCAAGGCCCTATGGTGCTGGCTGCGGCCAAGAAGCTCGGGCTCAAGACTTGGCTCGGCATGTGGGTGACCAACCAAGCGACGTTCGACACCGAGATGAAGGTGCTCCAGACCATGGTGTCGAGCATCGACGCGTCCGTCGAAGGCATCCACGTCGGCAGCGAGAACCTCTACCGTAAGGACGTAACGGCCGAGCAGGTACCTCTCATTGCTTTGAGATGACGTGACTCAATCGCCCTAGGCGATCTCGTTTGTGACGACGGTCAAGACCTTCTTGACGCAGCAGCAGATCAAGATCCCGGTCTCGGTCGCCGACATTGTCGACGCGCTCGTGCAGTACCCGACGGTCCTTGACGCGGTAGACGCCTGCAATTGCAGCGACTGTCTCTTATGCGCGTCGGTAGGTGGACGTCATCCAAGCCAACTCGTTCCCGTTCTGGGAGCCTGCCAACATTGACACGGCCATGATCAACTTCAAGATCAAGATGGACATGCTCACGAAGGTGGCGAAGGGCAAGGAGATTCAAATCAGCGAGACGGGCTGGGCCTCGGGCGGCGTTAACGCCAACGCGTCGACCGCGAGCGCTGACAACCAAGCGGTACACTGCTGTCGTCTGTCCTTTCTCTTGTCTAGCATCTCGTGTGTAGACGTATTTGCTCAACTTTTACAACTACGCGACGGAGCACAACCTCAAGTACTACTACTTTGCGGCCTTTGACGACGCGTGGAAGGCCACGCTGCCCAACAAGAAGAACGACGTCGAGGCGTTCTTTGGCCTCTACGACTCGACCGGGTCGCTCAAGCCCAAGATCGCCGCCTTGGTGCAAACCAACAGCTCGATTGATCCGGACAACACGACCATCACGGTGCTGCCGTTGACCAAGACGCCGATGCCAGTAAGCCCCGGGAGCAAGCCCGCGCCGTCGACGGCAACGACCGCATCGATCGCGCTCGTCTCGACTGTACTGGCGGCGGCGCTTCTTGCCTAACTGCCGTGCAGAGATGTGCTACGATCTTATTCTAGTGTTCTGCATATACATATATAGCCGCCATCTTGGCATCTAATAATACTGGGCAATGCGGCTTTCTATTTTCACTCTGCGATCCGCGGGATGCTGCGACCGACGCTTCTGCTGTTGCTGCTTGTGCTCGCGCCGGTGACGTCGGCTCTGAACGCGCCGCTGTACGGCCTCAACTACAACAGTCGCCAAGGACCCGATTGGGACTTGACCAAATGCAAATCCCAAGCCCAAGTGGACGCCGACATGGTGCTCGTCAAGGCACTGAGCCCGCGCGTGCGCATTTATAGCCTCACCGACTGCAACCAAGGAGCCATGGTACTCGCGGCGGCCAAGAAAGTCGGCCTCCGAGTGTGGCTTGGCATGTGGGTCGACGCTGGCAACGTTCATTTTGCGGTCGAGCAAGCCGCGCTGGAGACGCTTGTCAACGCCGGCGCCATCGACGATGCGACCGTCCTCGGCATCCACGTCGGCAGCGAGACGCTCTACCGCAAGGACATTTCGCCCGAGACGGTACACTGTCTTAGGCACGAAAATCATGATCCGCAATGGACGCGGGTAGGTGATTGCCAACATTCAAACCGTCAAAAGCTACCTGCGCCAACACCAAATTTACATTCCGGTGGCGACCGCCGACGTCATTGACATGCTCGTGCAATACCCCGCCGTGATCCGCGCCGTAATATGTCGACCTCGCCGTCATGGAGCTCAAGCCAACGATGCACTAGGGGGACGTCGTCCTGGCCAACAATTTTCCGTTCTGGGAACTCGCCGACATCAACACGGCCATGGTCAACTTTGACACCAAGCTAACGACGCTGCGGTCAGTCGCCAACGGCACCGCCATTTACATTGGCGAGACGGGGTGGGCCTCGGACGGGGCCACCGTGGGCGCGTCGCCGACGAGCGCAATCAACCATGCGGTACGGACCCTACCCCTTTTCCAATCGGTCGGTTGAGATGCCAGTGTAGACTTATTTGACCAACTTTTATGTTTATGCGACAGAGCGCCAACTGCCGTACTTTTACTTTGCAGCGTTTGACGACGCGTGGAAGGGCGCGGGTGTCAACGTCTCGGATACGGTCGAAGCCCACTTTGGCTTGTACAACAGCAGCGGCCAGCTCAAGCCCGATATCGCGGCACTCATGCTGCCAAGCGTGACGCCATTTCCAGCGACAACGGCACCGACGTCGCCTGCATCGACCAGTGCGCAAGACAAGGATGGCGGCGCGTCATCGACAGCGCCATCGACATCTACCGGCTATCGCACAGTCGCGCGCGATGCGATGGCAGCCTCGGGCCTCTTGCTCGTCGCCACTGTCCTCAACTAGGTTTCTACACGATTACATTTATTCAAAATACCACTTGGAGTGATGCTGGATTGGCTTGAATCGAAGCCAGTCGATTCCTTGCCGACAAACAGAAGTCGAGCCGTTGGAGGTGGTGGAGTGGGGTTAGGTTAAATTAGACAATCGTATTGTCGTATATCTGTTTACTGGGCCAAGAGCGCAGCGACGCTTTCGGCCGACAAGCTGTCGCCCGAGAAGACGCTGAAGGCATCACCGGGAAACTGCAGGACCTTGATGACGCCGGACGCCTCGTCGAGGATCGTGACGTATGTCACCTCCTGGTTGGGCAGCACGTTGGCCCACGTGTCCTTTCCGGGCGACGGGTGTGTGTCCAAGTAGTAGTAGTGTGTCGCAAGCGTCGACGCGCCGGGCGTGAGCACTTCAGCAATGTCGAGCTCGCCACAGCCACCAGGGTCGGCGAGGCCGCGGCAGTTGCAGCCGTACTGGTTGGCGCGAACCACTTGGCCGTGCAGCATCCAGATTGCGGGGAGACCACTCTCGCCCATCTTGACTTTGGTGGCAAAGATCTTGCTGCCCGCCCAGCCTTGGAGACCGTACGTGCCATCATAAAAGCCCTTGCACGTCTCGGGCGTGCACTTGGCTTCCTGCATGATGTTGACTTCGGCGCCGGTCGCAATACCGGGCCCGCCGTAGATGTTGCTCGGGTCGGAAGCAGCTTGGAGGGCGCCGCTGAACGCCTGCGCCGACTTGGAGAACGTCACGCCGTCGACCGAGGCGTAGCCCTGCGGCGCCTTGCCGTTGAACTTGTCCGGGTTGGCATTGTTCATAAAAACAAGGTTGCTCGCTGCGCCACCGCCATACTTGGAGGTTTTGGTCCAGCCGTTGCCGCCCTTCTGAAAGACGGCAATGTTGTAGATGTCCATGGGCCCGCGGAAGACCATGCTCACGTCTTCATGGAACGGCGCGATGGGGCCGGACGTGGTCACCGACGTCTTCTGGCACCCTTCGAGCTCGGTCACCATGCTGTACGAGCCGCTGCCCTTGAGGTTGCTGTACTGGAAGACGGCAGTCGCCTTGGGCACAGGCGTCGTCGAGGGTGGCGCCTGAGTGGCCGTGCTCGGCTGGGTCGTGCTCGGCTGGGTCGTGTTGGCGTTGGGGTTGATGGCGCTGATCGGCGGTGCGTCCATGACACCGACAACGCAGCCGTTGCAGTACGTCTGCTGGGCCATCTTGCCCTTGAGGTAGCAGTGGCCGTTGTACCATGTGAAGATCCAGCAGTTGATCGTCTCGATGCAGTCCATGCAGCAGTCGCTCGGGTTGGAGCGCGTCGTCCAGCGCAAATCGTTGCCGTAGTAGTCAATGTTGTAGTCAAACTTGGGCGGGCACACGGGCGGGAGGCCGCCAGCCGCGGCCAGCGCGACGGTCGCGCACAGAAGCGTCGACTTCAACATCGTGTAAAAGGCAAACTGAGCTGACTTTGCCTTTTCGCTGCGTCGCCAGCTGGGCGTGCGCAAAATCTCGGCCGCTTGTCCCATCGCAGTGGCGCCAGTCGCGGATGACGACACGACACTGCTCGTCATTGCAGAGGATGCGCTCGATGAACCCATTGGCCGCGACGTAACATAGCAGCTCGAGTGGGCTGCACTTAGCACCAAGCTCTCACTGGGTGCGGACCAAGCGCTTGTGCTCGCTTGGAGTCGCTCTATCATCTTGCGTCCAGGAAGCATGGAATCGTCGCTGAAAACACATGGCACGGATCGTCGTCGGGCTGAATGGGTGCGTGAGAGTCTCACGAACGAGCGGCGCCTTGGATGCAGTAGCTAGTAGCTAGGAGCCAAGTCCTACGCCAGTAGCTAGAACCGAGTAGCTGCGCCATGTGTGGTGTCGAGACGACGCTTCCATCGCTGCTGTTGCACCCATGCAGAGACGATCGTCCGCTGCCAGTAAGCACAGTCGTATGTGCTGGCCACTGATCATCTCTGCCTCGATCCTCGACCACCGTTGATATATATTTGCTCGGCGAGTTGTGTGGTCGGGAGTGGGCTTCTGGAGGACGCTCGTCTTTCGAATTCAGGCCATCGACAGCAAATGAACATGACAACGAGCTGGTGCCTCTTGGAGCCGAGGCGATGGGTCGATTGCGATCGATATGTTCGATCGATGGATTCTTGGATACTGATACTTGGATAGGACGACAATATGCAGCCCGTGGCCAACAAACCAATGCTTGCACAATTCATACATGGTGGACAATCATTATGTTCGTCGACGACTAATCTACTATCGTTTTACCGACTGATCATGGCACTCACCGCGTCGTTCGAGAGCGCGTTCGTGTCAAAGAACTTGTCGTAGTCGTCGTCCGTGAAGCGCATGACCTTGATCGTGCCCGAGGCTTCGTCCATAATCGTCACGAACGTCGCCGCGCGGTCGGTCGGGCGCGTCGTCCACGTGTCGTGGCCCGGCGACGGGTGCGTGTCGAGGTAGTAGTAGTGCGTCGCGAGGTTGTTGCCGCCGTTCGGAATCGCCTCGGCAATGTCGAGCTCGCCGCAGCCACCGGGGTCCGACATGCCGCGGCAGTTGCAGCCATACTGGTTCGCGCGCATGACCTGGGCGTTGAGCATCCAGATCGCGGGGAGGCCAGAGCCGTACATGATGGCCTTGACGACAAAGATCTTGCTGCCGCCCCAGCCGTTGAGGCCGTACTTTTGATCAAAGACACCGAGGCAGCCACCGGTAGCCGAGCACTTGGAGGGTTGCATGATATTGACTTCGGCGCCGGTCGCAACCCCCGGGCCACCAAAGATGTTGCTCGGGTCGGACGCATCGCGGAGCCAGCCGCCAAACTGGACCGGCGTCTCGGAGAAGCCCATGCCGTCGGCCTGCGCGTAGCCTTGGGGCGGCTGGTTGTTAAACTTGTTGGGGTTGAGGTTGTTCATAAACACCAAGTTGTTGGACTGCTGCGGCGTCCACGAAGACACGCGGTTCCAGTTGCCGCCCGACGGCTGGAAGACCGAGATGCCGAAAATGTACATTGGGCCACGGAAGATCATCGACACTTGCTCGCTGAGCGGGCCGATCGAGCTGTCGCTGCGCTGGCTCTGGCGCGCGCAGCTCTGGTAGTTGGTCACCATGTTGTAGCTGCCGCCACCCTTGATCGGGTACTTGTACTGCACCTTGAGGTTCTGGAACGGGACGTTGGAGCCGCCGGTGGCCGGCGCCGGCACGGGCGACCGACCCGAGAAGAGGGCGACCGCGCCATTGTTGTACGAGCTACTGCCGACCTTGTTCTTGAGCCAGCAAGTGCCACCCGTGTAGACCGCCACAAGGCACTGGGCGTTGGCGGCGCAGTCGGCGCAGCAGCCGGACGCGCTCGACGGCTTGGTGCTGCCAATGTCGTTGCCGTAGTAGTCCGTGTTGGCTTGCTGCGTGCACGACGTCGGCGCGTTCCCACCGACGCGGATGGCCGTCGCGCCATTGTTGACCGACTTGTCGCCGAGTTTGCTCTTGAGGTAGCACGTGCTGCCTGTGAGGACAGAGACAACGCACTGCGAGTTGGCGGCGCAGTACGTAGCGCACTCACCGACACTGGTCGCCGCCTTGGCATCGATGTCGTTGCCCCAGTAGTCGGTGTTGGCCTCGGTCGGGTACGGCGAGGACGGCTTGGGAAGAGCCGTCGCGCCTTGCTTGGTCGACCGAGCGCCGCGGCCGCTCTTGAGGTAACACATGCCACCCGTGTAGACGGAAATCGCGCATTGGTTGTTGGCGCCGCAGAGGTCGCAGCATGCGCTGGCACTGCTCACCGCCTGGCCGGCCACGTCGTTGCCCCAATAGTCGGTGTTGTCTTCAGCGTTGCCGCACTGGCCCACGGTCGCGAGGTGGCGCGTGCTGTTGGTGGCCGTCACGCCAGCAACGAGCGCCAGAATGCACCACGTTCGCATGCTTGCGCCAGATTGAAACTGGAGTTGCATCCGAGATTGCCTCAAATCCGCGTCGGAAAACCACTTGGGATTTGTATCCTATCACTTTTCGATTTAAAAAAAGACGTACGCGACAGATCTGAGTTCGTCAGGTCGCCGACCTGCGTAATGCTCGCGTCGTTGCCAACCACTCGTGGGCAGCTCTCGCAGCAATAACCAACACGCAGCACACATCGTTAGTACGGCTGCCTCTATCAACTGCGCGTATGGCTTGCAACCGTTTCATTAGCCTTGCACAATTCACTCATAGGGCGATCTGCATACTGTACATATCGGTCGATCGGTAAATTTGCTGAATGCACCAGCAAATGATGTGCAAAGCTCGGCCGAATTCGCTCAGCGAAACTGCTTCGTTCGATTGTTGGGGCCGACTCCCGGTAGCTATAACCTCCAATCGGACAAAGGGATTTCTCTTGCTCATCTCGCCGTGTCCAGCATGCGGCCCGGGTGTCCCTGAATCCCACGCATCTGTTGTTGCAAATGGGCACTTTGTTCGAGGCCACTGTTGCTCGCCACGTAATACATAATCTCAACACGTTGGGCGCGAACCAAGGTCAATGGCGTCACAGCATCGCATCAGCAAGTTTCGAAGACGACGCAACGGGCTATTGAGGTGGAAGGCGCAAAGCTTCAGAGCCGCCTGAATCCACATGGAACAGATGGTCTGAAGGGGTTTTGATTGGCCAGGAAGCTGGTGCCCAATGGGGTTGAGAGGGTTTAGAGGGCGTTGAAGGCCTTCAGAGCCCCGGGCTTAGGGTCGATTCACAGTAAAATTTCAAGATGCGGTTCCCAAATGGTGGAGAAACGATACACAGTAATTTACATCGGCACCTGGCAAAAAGCAGAGTCTTGGCATCGCTGCCAGCATTGTGAACAGGTGGTATTCTGAGGCCCGTGATTGGTTGGTTTAAAGGTCCCCCAATGCCACCGTCGCTGGAGCCAACAGGGCTGCCTCCATTTCATTGGCAGAAAATCTGGCTCTCGTTCTTCTGATTGGTGCAAAACACAAAATACAAAAGAACAAGTGGATACTTGGCGCCTTTTTGTCAAAGGCGTGGCGGGCCTCTCTCTGCCGAGTCCGAGAGAGGCGACCTACGTAGTTATGTCTTCTCGTTTCGGAGCTACGTAGTCTTCCTCGGTAGTCTATCGATCCCGCAGCACTGGAAACCCTTGATTCGCGGGCGATGCACGCGATCATCGTTGTTGGCGCGCGCCCTAATACACACCCGTGACGACAAACTGGCGCTCCTTGGGACATGGTTCATGTCGACAGTCGAGCGAAGCAACGTGCTCAAGGCGTTACGATGAAGGCGAGCGCAGAGATGACGACGCCGTGGTGGGCCGTGGGCGGCAGGATGCAAATGGGGCAATGCGCGTCGTCCCGAAGCCATTCCTTTCGGCGCCATCCTTTTGGCGCGAACCTCTCAGCCAATCAGCACCGAGCGCGCGATCCAGTTCGCGCGATTCCGTCTGACCAATCACCGTCGAGTTTGCATGTTACTGTGAATCGCTGTTTTTTGCCTTTACCGTGTCCTGGACCCAGATATCGATTAAGCGGACCTCCGCGAGGTGGTCCAGGACCAACTTTTTTCGGAGACGATACAGAGGCTTCTGATTGGCTGTTGGGCCCAAGTGACGATAAAAAAAATTACTGTGAATCGACCCTTAAGAGTGTATTCTTCTATCCCCGGGCATCCACTGGCGGGGTGAGGGGTTGTAAGGGTCGGGAAGTTGG